GTGGGGCCGTGGGCCGGTCGGTCACCCCCAGCCCTGCCGACTCCTGCCTCAGCAGCCCCCTGAGGGAGCTCCCCAGCTCCTGCCGCTGCTGCCAGAGCGGGGCAGCCTCCTCCGGCCAGCGTTCAGCAGTGGGAAACGGGTGAAGCGTTCCCGCATCTCTTTCCCGTTTCCTTTCTAGCTCCGCTCATCCTTCTCGCACCCCAAAGAGGGCAGGTTTCCCCCTCGCTGTGGCTCCTCCCGTCCCGGCGGCGCTGCCCAAGCCGGGTCCCTCCAGGGGCGCTGGGGAGGTGGCGGTGTGTGTGGGGAAACTTCCCGGTGGGAACGGGGGAAATTTCGCAAGACGATGGAGAGAAAATTGTAAATCCCTAACCCCAGATCGCATTCCCTGGGAAAAAGCTGCTCCAGCAGCCGGAGGCAATGCGGTGGTGGTGGCGGCGGTGGTGCAGGGCGACGCTGGCTCCGGGTCTTGTGAGTGGCAGAGATTTGAGCACCCTTCACCTCCACCACTTCCCTGGTTGGAGCACTTTCCCAGGGGAAACAGCTACACATGCGGGTTGATGTGACTCAGCCCAGTTGTGAGGCATGGCCAGGAGTGGGGCTGACCTCTCACAGCCTCCTAACCAGGTGCTGCCTTGCATCTGCACTGCCAGCTCACTGGTCCTGCTGGGGTGCAGCACAGCCCTGTGCCCTGGCATAGTCGCCTGCCAAAACAGTGTGTTTAGGGCCTGACTCGAGGCTCCTGGAAATATCCATGCTTAATCCTAGTGCAGAGCTTGACACCTGGTCCTCTATGGCACCAAGAACTCCTGGCAGCCTGTCCATCTATCAAACACTACAGAGCGCTGCCACCCTGTCTCTAGTGACAAAACCTGCAGGGTGTCACCTTCAGTACATCTTGTAGAGCTTCTTTTAAGGCTTAACATCTGCCATGCACACAGGACAGGACATTGGCATTTACTTTTCCTACAAGGCACCACGAGGCCTTCAAATTAATCCTTGAATGAGTATCTGTGGCCAACTCACTGCATCTTGGTTTCATGCAAGAACGTGCTCCTTTTCCTACACACTTGCATGACTGAGAAGACGTAGACACAGATTACGTCTGGACAGACATAGGCAGCACTCTAGCATCTGCCCCACACGCTCAGAGCTGTGTTCCACATCCATGTGCAGGAGGTGACTGGTGATTTCGGGTTGTGCCTGTTCCTCATCCCTGCCACTGGGGACCTTCCCTACAAAATTGTAAGCACCGTCTGTTGTGGCTCAGCAAGTGCAAAGGAAGAAATGGCAGCCTGGGAGGTGCTTACACACAGTCCTGACTTGGGGTGCAAAGGGTGCGACGGTGTTACTGAAGTCACCAGCACCGACGAGCAGGGGTGCAGGAGAGTAGTGAGGAGAAACGCTGTGTTGGCAAAGGATGCTACTAGTGAATATCTTACCAGCGTTTTAGCTAACAACATTGGTGAAGCATTTAGACCTACACGGGAACATGCCAAAAAGTAACAGAACGTTAGCAGTGCTCAGCCTACAGCTGCAGTGATGCTATTTTTCCCTTGGAAACAAGAAATTAATGGAAAACACTCTGAGTACAATACAGTATAACAATACAGTATAACAATTTGTCCCCACGCTCCCATCCCTCTCAGGACTCTGTCATCTCAGGGGCTGGGTATGATGTGGAGGTCAGCTGAGTTCCTGGGAATGAAACCTGCTCAGATGTCCCTTTTCAGGCCAGTTTATTTGTTGACTGCAGCCAGGCTGCCTGTGCTTGCGGTCCCTCGGAGGAGAAGCACACCAGAAGCCAGCTGGAGTGAGTCATCATTCATTCAGCGAGTTCAACCAGGAGAAGGAGAAGACATGACGAGCCGGCTCGTCACTCCTCTCATTGCTCACGGGAGTTTCCTCCACTTGTCCTTGAGGGGATGGTTCAGAACCAGTCTGTAAAGGAAGGAGAGGTTGACAAATGGAAGAGGAAAACCTGAATTACATTAAAATCCTTAAGGTTTCACAACACGCAGGAAAGCAGAATGAAGTGGGAAAGAGAGGAAAAGGTAGGGATTGTGAAAATTTGGGGAGGCCAGCCAGACTTCTAATGCCAGAAAAGTCAGAGGGAAACTTGCAATGGCAGAGGAAGGATTGCGCTGGGTGAGTGTGTCGCACCTGTGCAAAGAGCTTAGCTCTGATTTAGACCTCTGGAATATGATGGCACCGAAGGTGATAACTGCCTGTTTAGAAGTGATAGTGAGCCAGCTTGGCTTGTGTAGCTGGGCCTCCAGATTGATGTGGACCAAAGCCAAAAGTTATTGTCAGTGCATTGCCACTCAAAATGATACTTGTTCTGCTGTCATGAAATCTGCCTTGGATATGTTTTATTTCTTTAAAGTCTTTTAATATTTATTACACTTCAATTTCACTCAGCCCAAGAACAGGAAATACAAGATACAGAGATACAAGCTTCTGCTTATATCCCAGGCCAAATTCTGCTTTTGTTTGCACAGGTATCCTACGCTTACAGGAAAAAAAAGGAATCTGGACATGATATGCTGTAGCTGCTAATCACAGGATTAAATCAGCTGAATATTTAACAGGCCAGTATGATACAAAGAAATATTTTCACTAGTTCCAGAGTTTTCAGATCCCTTTTGGCAGAGAATGAAGACCAGCTTTGTCATAGTATCAGAAATCCTACTAAAGATAAAATATTAAAAATGGGTGCTTTGTTAGCTAAAGGATGCCTTAGGTCTTCATCATTAAAGTTACAATCTAACATGCAATATACAGGATTTTTCCCCCTCTATATATTCCTAGATATGCACATACATTACTGTACATTCTTAAAATTAAAGTAGCCAATACTGCCAGCCTTTTCTCTGCAGGGTTTCACCTTACTCTGGGAACTTCAGTGTGATCTCAGGAGAACTATTTGATGTCAAGATACTACTTGGTAGAGGGAAAATGACAGAGCAATGTCCTCTGAATTTTAACATGTCTCAATAATTTATAATAAAGTCCTAAAATGGAAAGTTACCAAAGCAGTGATGCTAACAGACATAACCAGGAACAAGCAGTGAAGCAGGGATGCTTGTGAGATATTGAAGCATGGGATGGATCATTTTCCTAAGCATTTTTGTAAGTGCTTGAAGTGTAGCACAGGAATTAGTAAGAACTATGTATGTTAAACATAAATTGGCTTCTGGGCTTCATTCCAGTTACTACCTATTGAGTGTTGTGACACCAACAGACAACACAGCATGGAGGTACGAAAAAAAATTACTCCCTGTTTCATTATTTATATATATTTAGAGTTCATCGCCCCTTTTTAGACCTAGATCCTCAGTTACTCTAGACTGGAATAGCCTTACTTGTTCCAATGAAATTCTATCTGAGAATCTGCTTCAATACTCGAAATACAGAGTAATCTTTGCCTTAGATTCCGTTTTCAAAGCAAGGCACTCACTGCTGCTCACTGCAAAATGCAGGGTTCAGAAAGGATTTTTATGAACAAGGATCTTGCAGAAGAATATAGCTGTTCCTTGCCAACTTTATCATGTACTTTAATGAGAGCACAAGCATGGTGTAAAATCTGGGAGAAAGAGCTGCCTACTTGAATACAAAAGTCCATTTTCAGCAATGCTGATGAGAAGGGTCATCTCCCAGGCTTTATGCAAAAGTATTGTAAAGGACTAGGCTCATGGGGCCAGATCTTCAGCTGAAGAGCCAGACAGCTAATTGAGCCCCAATTATAGATCTGCCTCCCAGCCCTGGCAAGTGCTGAATGCAAACCTTTCAACCCGATTACAAAACTCAGGTATCAGCAGTAAATACATGGCTTGACTTTCTGAATCATGAGGGATTCTATGCTCTCTTGATCTCAGTAGATGCAGGATCGTTCGTGGCTTATTAGACCTCTCTGATGTTGAAAATCTTGCCTTTTATTTTTGGGAGGACAATTGGAGGGCCTGGACTATCTAAAAGTAATTTTGAAATTGGTTGTGCAATTTTGTGCACTGAGCCTTTAGTAACGTGTGTAAGCAGGCATAGGACGGCCCTCCTCACTTCTCCCCACTCTGCAAAGGAACAGGACTGGCAAGAGGTTTAAAAAAATAATTTCCTGCTTTTTGATTCTTTTTTTACTTAAAACCACACTGGCACCTTGTCATTTCTCTTCCTGTGGAAGATGGGCTTCCTTGAGCACTTCTGCTTGCTATTTCAACCAGCCATTATCCAGACACATACATTAAACTAAGCTTTACTTTGAAGCAAAGAACTATCTGTGGGCTTAAAGTTAAGTAATTTGTTTCGCAGGGTTTGGATCTAACATGTTAGAAAAAATAAAGCACAATGCAATGGCTGAGACTAGCCAGATGACTGCATTACCTTGTTAACCAACACTGCTGCTACTGCATTTCAACTGAAACAATCTTTGTTTGCATCTCTGCCAAAATTGTATTTCATAATGTATTAACTTCTTCATATTCTGCTGTGATGACATCTTCCTGTGTCAGCAAAACAATGTTGGAGCTCTAACATACTCCCACGGGGTTTGGCTGGATGAAGCGTTTAGTCCCTGCACCTCGCTGGACTCTGCAGGCTGCCAGCCTGCAATACCTCGATGTGCCTTTCCAAGAGCAATCATTTGCCATCTCACACCCAGCCAGGAGTGAAGCAAGCAGCAAACTGACAATGGGGCCATTCCTTGGCTTTCAGACTTGTGGTTTTACACCAGTGACA